AAAAAGAAAAAAAAAAAAAAAAAAAAAAAAATTAAAAAATAAAGGGGGGAAACTCAAATTGATTATATTAAAATTTAAACTGGTTGTTGTCCTGATACAAGATTTTTTTTTTTTTTTTAAACCGTTTTGTTGACAGCTAAGGAAGTTCTAATTTTTACCCCAAGTACCAAATGCTTTATTATTTTCCTAGGGTAAAATGGTACGTTAGTTTTACACTATCGATCTTACTATTCTGTTCAAAGTGCCAAATGTTATATTGTGTCAGCATAACCAGGTGCCCTGTCGTTTTCTTTATGCCCAACGGGAATCTCTCCTATAAATGGCTAGTTTGCTATTCTTTCCTTGCTTTCAAAATTGTTTATTCATTTCATAGTGCTCGGCGCTCTTGCCTGGTCGTGTGTTGAATGTTATTGTCTTTCCATGGCACTGAGTGGTCTTTTAATCGATGCGAATCTAGTCAACTTACATGTGTTTCAAAGTCTCAAGCATTATATATTTCTTCTGATAATAACGTGGTTAGGAATTACTGTCTAAATCTCAAAAAATTGACATGACATCGCTGACAGCATTCTTTCATTTTTAAAAATTGTTTTTTATTAGTCAATTTTCTTCTCTAAAATAACACAAAGTTATTGTTATTTATCAAGTATTTTTTTATGAACTAAAATTTTATCTCTATAAGACATCGGATTTTTCTTAATTGTAAATGAAATAAATAAATAAATAATCAAAAGTCTTGATGATAAGTCATAAAACTACATTATACTTTGGTCAAATTAATTATTTTTTTTTTGACTTAAAAATTATAAGGCTTTCAAATAAAAAAATAAAAATAAGTTTTATTTAACATCATTCGATGAGAGAACTATCCTTGCGCACGTTCGGATTAATTCGGGACTTTACGTCCCAACAATTCCTCAAACGAAGACCTGAAGCGCCTGTTAAAACCTAGGTACACAAATACGTTGCACGAGACACTGCAGGCCTCAAACGTGTACCTAATCGTACTGGCCGTTAAATAAGTGTTCTCGTAGCGCCCGAAGAGACTGAATCCGGGTTCACACAAGATTGTGGAGAAAAACAGCAACTTGGGCATGGTGCACACCACGAAAATAACCGAAACCATCGTCGTCGATTTGATGGCGCACAATTCCTTTCTGTGTATATTTTTACGTGGTCGGGTGATGGAAATCTTTCTATTTCTTCCGGACGCCATACTCTCATTGGGGCTATTAATTGTGCGGCCATCAGATGAAAAGGAATTTCTTTGAATTTCATGCGTCTTCAAAGTCTCCTTGGGTATCGCGTTTCCATTAGTCTTTGTACTTTCAAATGAAGCCGTCTCCACGCATAAATGACTTGTAGCGTTCCTAAACTTGGACGACGCTCGTAAGCTGGACGCCAGGATGACCAAACAGGCAGAGACGGTAGCTTGACAAGTCGTCGTGGTGACCAAAGAGGTCGTGCTTCTGGCTGACATTATTTGTGCCCGGTTTCGTGACGTTGTAAGTTTAAACACTGTTGTATTTCTTACCGGATCGAACGCTTCCTGCAGACCTTGTGAGGCGAATATCGGTACACACAGCAAGACACTCACCATGCAAATTCCCGCAACAGCGAAGGCTGTTCTGGTCTTTGTGAAGGTTTTTTTAAATCGGAAAGGGGACGCAACGCACCAGCATTTCTGCACTGCAAGGAATGTCGTAATCCCTTGGGAGATGTCGTAAACTGGTCCGTAGTAGAACATAATGAGCAAGGACAGCGTGTCGCCCTCGACACGCCATAGCTGAAACGTGAACTTTGAGAGAAGCAAGGAGCACTCTGCCGATATCAGAAACATGACGCAGATCAGATCGGCTCCGGAGATAGCGAAGAAACACACGGAGATGCTGTCCTTGAGCCCAATTTTTAAAAAGATGATAATGTTGAAAACATTTCCAATCAAACCGAGCAGCAATATTGGTGGATGTATGATGGTTCCAATATACAGTGAAATAAGTTTTCTTGTTTCTAGAGTGAGTATGTCTTGAAGTGGAGTCAACTCCATGGCTGTAATGTTTATTTTTTTTTTTATTATTTATTCATTTATTTTTTATTTTAAATTAAAATATGAAGTCACTTCCGAGTCATCAGACAGAGATGCCAAGAAAAGTTCTGGGAATGTTCAAAGAAGAAAATGTTAAAATTTACCCCAAAATTTCTTTTTAAAAATGTGATCTCATTTAAATCAAAATCCAACAAATGAGTATTTTCTAATGTAAATTGTCTTTTGAGACCTGTTTTTTTTTTTCAGAGGCATAACCTTCTAATAATGTGACCGTTGAAATAAATTACTCTGTTCTGTTGTTGTTTCTTTTCTTTTTTTTTTAAATACCTGCCCTAAATATACCCCACAACTTTTGACAACTGAATTTATATACTTTACTTTTGTACAACCTGTTGTGAAATTATCCTAAAACATTGTGTCATTGATTTGCAGATTTTGCTAGTTTAAATTAAATTGAATTAGAAATTGATTTGTTGACTGAGGAATCGAACAGATCTTTAAAGAACAACGGATTGGACAGGTTTAAAATTTATCAGAAGTAAAAAAAAAATACAATGCTCGTGAAGCTCTGGCAGAAAAATCCGGCCACGTTTGGAAGCGATTGGCTGTTTCAGAGTTCTCTTTTGCTGTTTAGAAATATTGCATTCTATTTACGCTAACAGCTGTGACTAACAATATTACTCTAGACCAGGGGTGGCCAACCTTTTCAGCAGGCGGGCCAGATTTCAGAAATAATATTTCCTGCCAGGACACGAACCTAATTTTTTTTTTTTTTTTTTTTTTTTTTTTTTATTTTTTTTTTTTTTTTTTGTTCTTTTTTTTTGTTTTTTTTTTTTTTGGGTTTTTTTTTTTGTATTTCAAATTTTAATGAACATCAACCACGTTGAACACCGTGAACAGCAGCTCCCCAAACCGGACGAAAGCGTTGCCCTGAACCGCGAGTTGAATTTGAGGTAGATGAATATGTTGCACGAGATGTTCAGGGCTTCCAGCGTCATCCTGATATCGTTGGTCATCACGTAGGCGCTCTGGTAACGGCCGAAGATGCTGTAGTCCGGGACGCACACCAGAACGTAGTAATTCAACAGTTTCAGCGTGTTGCACGAGACGAACAGAATCGACACGAATGTAGTGGACTTGATCGCCTGGACTTCTTTTCGAGACGTGTTTCTGAGCGGCGGTGCTACGGCGAAGTCGACCCCTCTGCGTTCAGAAGTATTCATCTCGCACAGTCTTTTTGCGAGAACTTTGTCAGGGAAATCTGTCTCTAACTTCTTGGAACTCATCTTCTGAGTCTTTGCATTTTTATAAAACCGATCTTTGAATTTGGTTCTATGGTTCTTAAGATCGGGAATTGGTGGATCGAGATTGGGTGTCGTCGATGAGCTCCTGAACTTGGACGACGCGCGTAAGGTTGAAGCAAGAACGAACAAGCAGAAAATGACCGTCATCTGACACGTGGTGGTGAAAACCAAAGACACAAGCCCCACGGCAGAGAAGACCTTTTCTCGAATGGCTGATGTCCATAACTTGACAAGGGTACCGTTAGTGCCCGGATCGAGCGTTTCTATAAGATCTTGTGACGCGAATACCGGAATGTGGATAGAAAAAATTGCCAGACACATTACCGTTAAGATGGCTGATGTCCGGGTAGAAGTGAACGTGTCTTTAAAGCGGAAAGGCAGCGCGACACACCAGCTCTTCTGGACTGCGATGAACGTCGTGATGCCTTGCGAGACGTCGTAAAACGGGCCGTAATAAAACGCTAGAAACCAAGACAGACTTTGTCCGTCGATTCGCCACTGTTCCCGAAAAAAACCAGGCAGCATTTTACACCAGTCCCCTAATGTCAACAGCAAAACGCTGACCAGGTCAGTGCAGGATAGTACCAGGAAGCAGATGTTGATACTGTCTTTTAGTCCAAGTCTTAAGAAAACGATGATGTTGGTCAAGTTGGCGATCAGGCCGAGCAGATAGAGCGGGGGTTGAATGATCGCGCCGAGAATGTAGGTGACGATGACCGACTCCCTTGAGGTCAACTCAAGCAGGTGTACCGTTGGCGTGCCACTGCTGTTCATTGCCTTGTGCGGTCGTCTGATGTCCACGGGATACACATTTAATGCGTTCTTACTCCAGTCCTCATTTGGAATTACTCACACACAGCAGTTTTTTGTGTCAATATTCGAACAAATATATTTTTTTAAATCTTCTAGTGTTTTGTGTCGCGTCTGAAAAGCAACATCACAAAATCTCAAATAATGGCGAGAGAGTGCAACGAAAAATACATTTTAAATAAAACTATTAAGAATTCAAAGAAAAAAAAACAACGTGTTTTTCTTTATTTTCGAACGTCGGCGTTTATTCTCAATATATTCAACTAGTTCAACTGATGAACTTTATGGAAAGCTCTACTCAACTTAGAACTTTATGGCTAGCTCTACTCAACTTAGAACTTTATGGCAAGCTCTACAGAACTTAGAACTTTATGGCTTGCTCTACTCAACTTAGAACTTTATAGCAAGCTCTAATCGACTTAGAACTTTGTGGCAAACTCTACTCAACTTAGACCTTTATGGCTAGCTCTACTCAACTTAGAGCTTTATCCAAGCTCTAGTCAACTTAGAACTTTATGGCAAGCTCTACTCAACTTGGAACTTTATGGCTAGCTCTTCTCAACTTAGAACTTTATGGCAAGCTCTACTCAACTTAGAGCTTTATCCAAGCTCTAGTCAACTTAGAACTTTGTGACAAGCTCTACTCAACATCGAACTTTATGGCTAGCTCTACTCAACTTAGAGCTTTATCCAAGCTCTAGTCAACTTAGAACTTTATAGCAAGCTCTACTTAGAACTTTATGGCAAACTCTACTCAACTTAGAACTCTATGGCAAGCTCTTCTCACAAGAATTATAATAAATATTGACTTCCGTTTTTTAGCTTAAAAATTGGCTTTAAACAAAATCCTTCTTCGTTGTTCCAAAATAAAAGAGCCATAAAAATAACTTGTCGTGCTTTTGAACCATCTTGTCTTTTAAACGATGTTCTTTTAAAACGCCCTTGCTAAAATGGCGATATCACTGAAACACTGATGCCATATGTAACAGCTTTGGTGGCTTTTTGGTGGCTTTTTGGTGGCTTAAAAGTTCGTCTGTTTGATTTGTAAACATCTAAAAATGAAACAAGATGTAATATATATAGATATCTGCTCTGAAGGCTTTTTGTTGGCTTGATTTGTAAACACCTAAAAAATTTACATTAGATTGCTTCCTGATGTGTCTTACAAATCTGCGCTTGTAGACCAGAGAGGGCCTAGGTTTTTAGAACGTTGTCGTTTTGTTGTCGGCAAAGTTCACAGGTGATAAAGCTGAAATGGGTTGTTGTTGTTTTTTGTTGTTGCTTTTTTTTTTTACATTAGGCTTTGTATGCGGTCAGCCCTAGATCTACAGAAGGGTTAATGTTTTAAGATCAATACCCCCTCCAAACAAAGACAAACTTTGACAACCCTTCGTACTAGGAAACGTTATTACATTCAGACACTTCAGCCTAAGTTGAAGAGGTAGGGGCGGGGGGGGGTCCATCATTTGATGACCAACTTTTTGATCAGGATCATTCACATCGTATCGCGAGGGTCCGGCCTCGATCCTTGACCCGTTCGTGACCTTTTTTTTTTAATGTCGCCGACGTTCGACCGCTTAAATCGTCATTGAAATCGCTATTGGAGCACTGCTGGAGTGAACCCTCACACTGACGTGCATTATGACAGCGTTTATCAGAGATCAGATGGATAGATTTTATTCTCAAGTGGCTCACTTGTGAAGGTCTCAGCAACGTTATAGAAAGGCTGATTGTAAAAAAAGGTGAATAGCTTTGTGTTGACAAACGGCTGTTTAAAATTAAATACGGTGTCCACTCGTAAAGGTCAGTGTTACACTCGCGACCGTGTGAAGTGATCTCGGAGAGTTTAAGAACAAAAAATATTTATTAAGTTACACTTGCAAAAAAACGAGATGTGGTGGTCAATATTTTAATATTGTAAGAAACATTCGAAAATTAAGCAAAATGGATTTAGTTAAGATGCTATCAACAGAAGTGGGTGAGGAGTCTATTTTCTTTATATAACTGCAATCCGTGCTCTGAATTCGCAGATCATTAATCGTGGAGATTTTTCTTCAATACAGAAAACTGAAGTATATACTGAAGTAATTTATTGAGGAATGAACAAAATTTTAACCGAATTATGTGACCAAGTGAACCACAGGTCGCACCCATATTCCATCTTTGATTTCAGACCTTGAGAAAATGTCTACCTCGTTTGCCTCTGAGGCTTAATTTTACGATAGTAAACATATGTAAAGATACACCAGCAGTGGGTAGAGTGGCAGAGAGTACAGTGTCAGTGGCAGAGAGTGCATTGCCAGTGGCAGAAAGTGCAGTACCCGAGGCCGAGAGTGCAGTGTCAGTGGCAGAGATTACAGTGCCAGTTGCCGAGAGTGCAGTGCTTGTGGCAGAGAGTGAAGTGTCAGTGGCCGAGTGTGCAGCGCCAGTGGCCGAGCGTGCAATGTCAGTGGCCTAGCGTGCGGTGACATTGGCCGAGTGGGCGATGTCAGTGGCCGAGAGTGCAATGTCAGTGGCCGAGTGTGGTGCGTAACAACGCAAACATTGCATTCAGGCCAAAGTTTCTACATATTATTTTAAGGAGACACTGAAGAGAAGACACCCCGGTTCGAAAACTAACATTTCTCATTTTAATGATGTCTTTATTCCCAAAGAGCGTGATGACGACGATGGTTATTTGAAATAAACAAATATGTGCGCGTTTTGGTGGTCATATGTGATGAACAGCGCATCATAAATATATTTTTTTAAATATATATCTCATTGGCACACCGG